GAGAAATTGGGAAGGAGTGGAGAAAGGGCTTTGAACTGAGGGACTTCGAACTTGAAGAACTAAAACATGAGATGAATTGTTTGACAGGAACCTTGATGTCACCCAGCGTAATGGCAGATATGTAGGGGAAAAGCAGCCCTGAGCTGATTACCATGATCCTCTACATCAGGGGTCCCCAACTCCCGGGCCACAGACCGGTACCAGTCGGTGGCCCATTAGGAACCAGGCCACACAGCAGGAGGCGAGCGGCTGGCGAGCCAGCAAAGCTTCATCTGTACTTGCAGCCTCTCCCCAGTGCTAGCATCACAGCCTCAGTTCCATCTCAGATCATCAGACGTTAGATTCTCATAGGAGCACAGGTCCCTGGTGGCAAAAAGTTTGAGGACGGCTGCCCTACATGACTGAGGAAGTGTTGGGAGGCAGATAATGGGAACTGTGACAAAATCAGTAAGAGAACTAATAGGGAAATTTGACCTAGCCAAGGGGTAAGGGAGAGCTTCTCAAATGAAGTGACAGTTGAGGAGACTTGAAGGAGAAGGAGTTGACAGGGCAAGAGAGGGAGGAAGGGCATTGCAGGTAGAAGAAAAAGAACAGGCAAAAAGTCCTGTGGTAGAGGGAGCTTGGAAAATAAGAGAGGCTGAAAGAAAGGCAGTATGGCTAGAATGACAATGGTGAGGAGAGAGGCATAAGATGAAGGAAAAGTAAAAGGATCAGGTTACTAGATTAAATGATTGAGAAAATGCCAAAGAACTACCAAATGGAGACTTGAGTAATATTGACTAGAACCTTGGTGAGCCACAGGAGTGTTTTAGCCACGCATCTTTGAGTAACACAAGATCTCTGAGTGGGAAGTATAGGTTCGTAACATGACTGGCTGGGCTTAGGACTCAGCCAGGGCCCAGAACCTGATTTAGTCTGTGCCCACAGAACCAAACCAAGCTAACTGCCTCACATGGAGTTTCAACCAGGCCACTGTGTCTCTCTAACAAAGTTCCTAGACCATAACCACCAACTTATTCTATGAAGAGGAGGAGCTATAGGCAGCTGAGAGCAGCCTGAAAGGAGCTGCCCTCTGGCTCCACCAATATCAGCAAAAGGAAGTCCAACCCTCACTGTGAGAAGATAACCTCTCTTCTGGCTGCCTGGTTGACTGGCTGGAGTGATCCTGGGTTGCCACAACAAAGACCAGCTTCCATGAAAGGAACTCTTGTCCCCACCCTGTGGCCAACCCTTACACACACACACACACACACACACACACCCCACACAACTCAGGCGTGGCTGAGTTTTTGTCAAAGCAGGGCATAAGTGATGGAAGGGGTACCCAACAACACTACGACAGTCTTCTGGGAGCTAGACAATTGCCACCACCCCCATCAAGGGCATGAAAGACATTCCTTTCAGGTTAGCAGTTGTTGAGGTTCAGTGTCAATTATCCAAACTTGTGTTGAGCCCACTTTGCTAGGCTCTGTCCTGGATGCTTCGATGCATGCAAAGATTTATAAAAGCAAGCTCCTGTACTCAGGGACAGATGACATAGGAGAGAGAGTCAAGACAACAGAGGATTAATGCAAAGCTTTTAAAATAGAAGCTAAAGCAAAATATTATGGGGGCCCCCATGATGAAAGGATGAATTTGAGCCAGAAGTCAGGGCTTAGTGGATGAGGTGACTTTTGAGCTAGACTCTATTAAAGGGAGGCTTTAACCACTGAAATAGATTGACTTCTATCCTGAGGATAGTAGGAGCCATTGAAGAACTTCAGATGAGGGCAACTGTGAGGCCCAATGAGGGATCAGGGGCTCTGAAGCCCTGCAGACTCAGATTTGAGTCCCAGTTCTGCCATTGGACCTGGGCCAAGCCATTATACTTCTCCAGCTTGTCTCCTCTTCTGCAAGTGAGGATCCCACCTGTCTCCCAACATGGTTAACAAACCTAATGAAAGGGTGGGAAAGGGTGGTCACATGCTATGCTACATGGTCAAGGGTGTACAGTCTTTCAGTCTTTAAGGTCACATCAAAATTAGATTGAAGTCTCTTTCCCACCTGCATAACTGTAGGACCTCAGGCCCCCTTTCAAGATTTCATCCTCAGTATCTTGAAACATCCCTAGCGGGGTGTTTCACAGTGCTCAGAGTCCCCTCAGGTCTCTGACTTTTCTGCTGCCATGGCACTGCCTGCCTGTGCCCTCTCAGGCAATATTGTTGCCACTAATCGGCCCCATGACTACTGACCCTCCTCATGACCACTGCCTGCAGTGTTATTTCTGCACCTATTCTGTTAATGTTTGTGCCCCTGCTGCTCCACAAGGCTACCAGGATGCCCTCTGCCACTCTGGCCTGCTGGCTCTCACTTCACTTTTCAGGCTTCCCTTGCATTGCACTCTTCCAGAGTGGCCCGCCGCAGAGCTGCTTGGAAGCTAATTCCTTTACATGCATTTTCTCAGTTACATACATGAAATGGTTTGTTATTATGATCTGAACTGTGACTCAGGACACCTACTGTCACCGAGTAGGAAAAAATGCAAAGTCGGGTAGGTGCATTCTGATTGCAGGCATTGGTGCCCAAAGAGGGCAGACCTGGATGGAAAGGCAGGGTGACAACCCTAGGGAGATATCAGGGTGCAAAAAAGAGGCATGAACAGGAGAGACCCTGAAGAAGAACCTCTCCACTTTCAGAATCTGGCCTTGAGGTGTGCCTTGGACCAAAAAGTAAAACAAGAAGAGATGGACTGCCTGCACAGGCCATAGCAAGACTCCAGTGACCTTCCAAACATCTTTTATACAAGGACTCTTAACCATTCATCCTCCCCACCCTGAAACATTGCTTACCACTTCAGGCCTGTTGCCAACTTGGGTTTATGTCCCCCAAACTGATGACTAAAGACATTGGTTTCGAGATAAAGAGGTAAGGGAGGAGCTGAGATAGAAGGTAGGTGAGGTAATCATTGCCACCAAGGCAAGACAGGGATCCTGGGAACAGAACCAGAGGACTGAGTACTGTATGGAGCCTTGGTAGCCTCCGAGACCATCCATGGGCAGAGACCAAAAGATGCGAGAGGGACGACTATGTGTTTTTAGCTTCCAGAGTTGGTATTTCAGCCCAGCTGATCTTTGGCATAACATTAACTGCCATTTCAGCAGTTTTGAATGCCAGGGGCAGGAAGAGCAAAGTACAGATGAGCTAGGTTTGAGTTTTAGTTATGTATTTGGCTCAACATATACTTATAGAGCATTGACTTTTTATGGTAAGTACATTTCGAAAGCTTCACAGACATTAACCTGCTTAACCCTCACCACACCCCTAAGAAGTTAGTACTATTATTACCCCAACTCACAGGTGAGGAAACTGTGGGCTCACAGAAGTGAAGTCACTTACTCAGCACCATGCAGCTAGTGGGTGACAGAGCTAGGATTGAAACTCTGGCAGTCTGGTTCCTAGGCTCACTTGGTGAAGGCAGGGCTATTTGTCTTAGACAGCTGTCTTCAGGGTCATCTGCACCCTCCCACCATGACCCCATCAAGTCAACCTACCTGCCCTTCGGGATGGCTAATATGGTGAACAGAGGAGGAAAAGGACTTTGAGGGGGTATTTCCTCAGTCCTCTGGTCTCTAGGAATAACTTCATTCTCAGTCCTAGAAGGGAAGAGATGGGCAGAGAAAAGACAGCAGGAGTGTCAGCAATTCCAGAACCACACAGGGTTCTCTCAGTCTTTGTTCCCAGGCTATTCCCTAAGCTGTGGGCAATTCCCTCATCTTTTATTCCTGGAGGTGGAGTTCACTGAATCTCCTCACTCATTTAGACTCCTCTCCTTCAGGGAGTCCCATGAAGGACCCCCTTTCCCTCTTCAAAATGGTGTATTTTATTGTGTTTGGATGGATCATTTGAATGCTGCCTTAAACTTGTGGACATAAGTACATTAAAACTAAGATAAAAAGGAATGGGTAGTTTGCCTCTAGGGACTTCCAGGCTAGGTGAGCACCTGTCTATTGGGTCTGTTTGTCTCTCAGAAGTATTTCTTTCTGGCCAAGAGTTCTAAAGGGCATTTGCTGGGAGCTGCTTTAGCACTGGTGCAGTAAGCTGCCCTCTGATGCAGTGGGTGTGGAGACAAGCTTGGTCTCAGTTTCTCTGCTTCCTCTGTAGGGAGTCATGCTGGTTAAGAGTGACTACAGAAGAATCAAAGTCCTGTTCTAGAAACTATGACAGAAAGATCATGTCTAGTGAACAAAATTTGTCTTCTGGGAGCCCCTAATCTCCCATTTTTGGGTTTTCTTCCCTCTTCAGCGGCATCCCTTGATCTCTTCAAATAGACCTTTAGGCCTTTTCCCTCTCAGGTGTGAAAGGTGCCAACAGTCCTAAAATAAGGGCAGTCTTCCCCTATACCAGTGGCTGGTGGCACTTTTACAGAGTGAGCTCCCCTGAGGGCACTCACCCCAGCTCAAAAAAGTAACTCTCCGACTATAACTAACTTCTCCCAAAGAGTGCAGTTATGCTTCCCAGGCACTAGGGAGAGAGGATCCTGGATTTTTCTGACAAAGGCCAGCTTAGAGGAGAAGGAAGGATAAACAACCACCTGAAAGCAAAAATGGGACTGCAGCCAGAGTTTCAGGATGGGAGAGCTAATAAGAAACAGCTTGCCAGAGAGAGGGGAACAGAATTCAGGAATGGCTGAGGCTGACTGCTGTACAGGGTAATTGAAACCAGCTGCTGCTTCTTTGTCTCAAAGATCTTTGGACTCTGCCTGGGGCAGGCTCACACCCTACTCCATGTGACTAGGAGCCAGCAGAGACTTCTCTGCCTACCCTGACTCCTGGAGACTTCAGAAACAACAGATCAGAAAGGTTCTCTCCATATACCAGTCAGATACCTCCTTTCCAAAGCCAGCCCCCACCCGCTGGCTGCATCTTCCCCAGAAAGGCCTGGAGGAAGAGATCAAGAAAAGAAAAGGCCTGCCCACTCTCCCCGATCCCTCCATCCATCCAGCACCAGCATCTGAAGACTCTATGGCCCTGGTTCCCTGGGCCTGCTGCCCCTGGCTTGTCCTCCTCTGTGGTAAGTGCATCCCATTCCCTTCCCCCTTTTCCTCCTGGTAGGTCACATCCAGCTGGAGATCAGCTCTGGCCTCCCCTTCTGGGCTCAGTGAGGGCTGGGGCACAGGTTGTCTTTTTTTCTCTTGGCCTCCCTCTCTGTCTTGAGGAAGAGGAACCCCAGGTCCAGTCCTTGGGGCCCTCAAGACTCAGGTCAAGTCTGGTTTGGCACTCTTCTATTCGTATCTGTTAAAGAAAAAAATTATTCTGGTACTTGTTAAAAGAGCAAGGAAGAATTTATTCAAGACTATTGCAATAGGGGCACCACAACAGGGGAGGAAGATCAGGTTCAATTCCGAGTACAGCAAAGATGGCCAATGATCAGAGTGAGGAGATCAGTAGATGGAAATTTCCTAAGAGGAGGCATCAAAGGTAGGGAGATTCTTGCTAACCCGACTGAACAGGATACTCATTGAAAGCAGGCCAAGGTGATTAGATATCAAAGGTGATCAGATATTAAGGGTAGAGGAATTTCTCTAAACTAACAGCAAGAATCTTGCTAAGACTGGGTGATGCAGGCCCAGCAAGGACAGAACGGACATGGAAAGCCAAAGTCAAGGCTTAATCGAGAAGAGGCCTTGGAGGAGCTTAACTAAATTTTGGCCCTTGTTACCCTTATGGTGCCCTATTTGTCCTCTTTGGTCACAACTAAGTGCTCAGCTCAATATCCTCCACACCCTCTCCACCTCCAGCCTTAAGGAAACCTTCCTTCCCTTTGCTCTCTATCAGCAAGACCATGCTCATTTATTCAGCACCAAGTTCCTGAGCACCTCTCAAGTGCCAGGGACCAGAGAATGATTTGGCTGCAGATCCTGACCTTGGAAGCCATAGCCAAGCCTCAGAAAACAGTAATCTGGGTGTCCAGAGGACTTAGGTTGACTTAATTTTGCTTCTTATGTTGATGTCTTAGCACAATCATTTTGCCAGAGATCTGTTTCTGCAAAAATGAGGATTCATTTTCTTAAATCAACAGTATGGGTCTCATCTCTCCCTTGAGTTTATGAAACCAAGACAGCCAGGCAGGGTATTAATGGTGTTAGACCACAGCCACCCTCCTTCCATCTGTAGCACAACCCATTCAGAAGGTAAAAGTATAGCATCTCCCCATACTCAGGCCCCCATTACATAAAGGCTGGAGAGCTAGAAGGAAGGACTATCAGAGACTACTGGAATTTCAGGACCCAGAGCTTATAGGACCCTGTGCCTGGTTATAGTAGGTACTTGGGAAATGTTTGCTCAGTGAATACTAGATAACTCTCCTTGGATTACACCAAATTTGGGAAAGAAACCAAATTGGAAACTAAGTCTCCATACACTCTGTCCCGTCTGTGGCACCGCCCTTTCATGGTTGTTTGTTTGTTTGTTTGTTTGTTTTTGTTTTTGTTTTTTGTAGTCAGATGGCCTGGGTTCAAACTACTGCTTTACTAGTGACTCGAAGTGGCAAAACTTACATGGGTTACCAAACCTATCTGGGCCTCAACTTCCTCTTCTATAGAAAGTAGACAATAATACTTACCTCACAGGGCTGTTGCAAGTATCAAATGAGATGCTATAAATAAATTGTTGACTTCAGTGCCTGGCACATAGTAGGAGCTCTTTAATGCTAACCCACCTTTCTCCATCAGGTGACAATGTCAGACTGTGATTGCCTGTCTTATATTTTAAAACTAACCTAGAATGATAGGCAGAGATTTAGATTATAAGAGTTGGTACAACTGGGTCTTGAATTTAAGCAAACCCAATATATAAATAATTAGATTTATAGAAGAGTAAAATGAAGGCGGGGTGATTATTTAGTGAGATCCTCTAGAACATTTCGAAGAAAATTTGAATTACTAAAATTTAATTCACACACAACTCTTCTCATTCAGTAGACCCTAAAGAGACCAAATTAGATTAGAAGGGGAAAAATTGATTTAATGAGTACTAAAACCCATCCAAAAGTAGCAAACACTTGCCGATAAATCAGGTTTCTCTGATTGTGACCCAGGGTGCCATCCAATTCAGCCTGATTTTCTATAGAATTTGATTATTTTTATCCTCAAGTCGAGTTGGACAGCATCCTGTGTTTCAAAGAATGGAGACCCTGCAGGGATAAGGAGGAGGGTTGGAGGAACATGTCCTTGTGCTCTCTAGGAATTATCTGATCTCCAAGTGACCCTGGATTTTTTTCTCCGGGTTTCTAGCTTGTGCCTGGGGCAATCCAAAGCCAGCGGACCCAAAAACAGAGGATGTGAGAAACTGTTCATCCAGCCCTCAGGTGAGACCCTGACTTGGCCCCGCCCTGGCGGCCATCCCAGCACCACCTCCACTCTCCAACGCCCACCTCCACTCTCCAACGCCCGCCTCTCCGCCCCTGCCCCTCCTCACAGCTCCCCTTGTTCTTCCCATCCTCCGCTGGCTCAGTTGTTACCCTTTCCCTCTTATCAGCTTTCCTCCTGATTTCTGGACTCTGGGCTTAGTTTCTGATTAACATCCTTCAAGACTGTCAGCACATTCTCAGGTGCATGACATCCACCTCCCTCCTTCCCTCCCATCCATTCCCACAGCAGGTTATCTACCATAGTCCTGTCTTGGGCCTAGGCAGCCCCACTAGAAGGAGGCAAGGGAGGGAGAGAAGGAAGGCAGGAGTCTCCTAGCTAAGTTTTGGCTGAGTCTAGGCAGAGGCCAGGAGGAGAATGGGAGAAAAGGAAACAAAAATTCTGGAGGAACAGAGAAGAGGGAGGCACAGAAGGAAGGAGATAGAAAGTCAGAAAGCTAGAGGAGCCAACAGAAGGTCAAGAGAGGGAGGCTTGGGGTGTGAAGACCTGAAGATAGCCCACTATACTGGAGCTGAAAGGTCGTCCCTTCCTGGCTGGAGATCGAAGCGATTCTTTCCACAACCAGAGTAAGGAAAAATAGCTTCTCCAGGCAGGGGTTGGCCAGAAGGTGAGAGATGATGGGCCTACCAGTATCCACTAAATCTCAGGAGTACATGTGCTTGTAATGACAACTTTATGAGACCACTGGGGCAGGCAGATAGGTGGTCTTCAGCCACATTACTTTTACATTAAAATAAACATGGATATATTGTGGAGTAGAAGGCAAAACAAAACAAAACAAACAAGCAAAAAATCCCACGCTTTTTATTTTAAAGATAAAGCAGGCTTTAAAGAAATTTTGACTTAAAGAGATCTTTCTGGACAATGTCCCAAACTGCTGAGAGGTACTCATTCACTCTCCTCTGCCATTTGAGACCAGTGAGTGAAAACTTGAAAAATTCCCCAAGGTAAGGTTGCCCAGTGAAATACAGGACACCAAGTTACATCTGAATTTCAGATAATGTGTAACGTTTTATATAAGTATGTCCTAAATAGTTCATGGGACATACTTATACTAAAACATTATTCGTTGTTTATCTGAAATTCAAATGTGACTGAGTGAGCATCCTGTATTTTTATTTGCTAAATTGGCAATGCTACCTCCAAGGTATCTAAAGAGAGACCACCCCCCTGCACTCCCCAACACCCGGCCTGGCCCAGTGCCAACATTCATACCCCTACAACTCTCACCCACATCCTCATCCCAAAATCAGGTGCCATTACTGTCACAAAGGGTCCCTCTCTAAGCTCTTCAACACCTCCATCTCTGGTCAGCCCAGGCACCTTAATCTAGACTAACTTATAACATCAGCTGCTGCCCCATCCTTCCATGCCAGCCCAGCATGCCCAACCCCAACCTGCCTAAGGAGAGGCTGGTGGCTCCTTCGACACCATTTTCACTAAGCAATATATGTCTATGTGTGTGTCTTGTCTTCCTGTCACATGTCAGTACCTTCCAGTTACTGCGGTCAATACCACAGAGAAGCTCATAGCCCTCCGCCAGCAGATGCACACCCACAATCTCTCTGCCTACATCATCCCAGACACGGATGCGCACATGGTGAGGGACAGCTCTGCCTCCACCCTTGCCCTCTCTACTACCCCAGGTTGGTTTATGAGAACAGGCCACAAATAGGAAGCTGTTAATACTCAGAAGATGAAGGCAAAGAAAAGACTTAACAAGTGAAGGGAAGGAAGTGGGGAGCTTGGACATGGGAGTTTAGGGCAGCTAAAAGAATGTAATCTTTTCCATAGGAGAGAAGACATTGCCAAATCTCCTTGACTTCAGGCAATGAAACTATATACAACTTCAGAATCAATTTTGATTGCTTCCTAGATGGCAGACCCAGAATGAATGTTTAGGGAACCCTGCCCTAGGAGGTTAGAATATGGGCTGGGAATTGGACAGGAAGAATGCTAAGCTCTCTTCTGGATCTGCCCTTCCAATAACCTAATGAAATTATCCAGACCCTGGACTACATGAGTTTGGGATGTAGGCTGGGGGAAGAGAAGCAGACAGGAAACAAGATAGTCTGAATAACTGCTTTTCCCAAAGCAGTGCCCCTGTCCATCCATCTTGCCCTTTCCCACCACTGGACCCCATCTACCCTATCTGCCTTCCCAGCGCCAACCCAGTTGGAAGAGAAGGAATTTTCAGTGTCAATAAGATTACTTGAATTACTTTTCCCACCTGCTGGGAAAGACTAAGAACCTTGGACACATGTCCGAACTTCAGTTTCTCCTTCTGTGAGATGGAATAATGAAATATGTCTCCAGTGATTATGAGGATCAAAATATAATAATGCAGAAGTTACTTATGATGTAGTCAGTGTACTTACTAGTCTAGGGAGGAGGGACAGCTGGAGGGGAGAACCAAGAAGAACCAAAAGACATGATCTCAGACTGCACAGAATTTGCATCTGACAAGGGAGACAAGACTCCTTTGTAGAACAGTCCAGTACTAGGTTGTGAGTTTTACACTCCAAGAGATACAGTTGTTCAAAGGAAGAGAAGATCCTGAGAGCTGGAGAGAGTTGCAGATGCCATCCTGGAAGAGAAGCCCTGCATGTCTGGGCTTGTAAGACTGGTTAAATCTGACCAGAACGAACTAGGATGTGGTTGGGAGCCTTCCATGTAGGGTCTGACTTCATGAAGAAAGCTAACAATACTGTTGTTGATTTCCTAGAGTGAGTACATCGGTGAACATGACAAGCGGCTTGCATGGATTACAGGCTTTACAGGGTCTGCAGGTGACAGTCATTACCCTGTCCTCATTGCTTCTGTTGCCTAACCCAGAGGTGGTCACAGATTCCCTGGCGTGGTTAGTTCTCGTCAGCCAAGAACCCCAGGACCTAGTGTTCAGAAATTTCTTGCTACTCTCTCTGCTTCCCCTCCACCACTCCAAAAAGGGTCACCAGGGCAGATGTCCAATCAGGTTCCCCAGAGTACACATCTCATTGTCCAGCCAAACTTCTGCATGAAGAAGATAGCCCTCTTGGTTTCCCTCCCATGCTCACTGCCTCTGCTGCAGCCTCATCCAGCTTAGCACTCCCTGGGCCCCTTTTCTGGAATAGTCAGTACTTCTATGTCTAGCCACTAGGAGCCTGCTGATTTCCTTCACACAATGGCTCACTTGGGGACAAAGTTTTACCTTGCCAGTCCTTTAAAGAGCAACAGCACTTCACGTAGCCAAATGTAGAAATCCTTATGGCGTCCCAGTTTCTGAAGAGGCCTCATACCCTGATCCTGGCCCCTTGAATGAAATCCAAGCTTCTCTTGCTAATCCTTAAACATTCCTCCCCTGGGCTTCAAGCTGCCTTGCCTTAGCCATCATGGGCCCTTCTCTTTACCAAAGTTTCTGGGTTTATTTTCTCTGCCTATCCTCAGCTAAGCCCCTGGCTTAGTGTCTTGATACTGACTACACTACCTTTCCTGAGAGCACCTACATGCAGCATCGACTCTTTTGGACTGCCAAAAGCAGGCCCCGCTTCTCCTGACAAAAGTCCTAATGGCCGCCTTAGGAGAGGCCCTCAACACAAAGCAGAGATGCCAGACCCAGGACACCCTTTCTGCTGGCTTCCGTCAAAGCTCTCTTTAACATCTCCTGCCTCATTTCCTTCCAATGAGGGAGAGAAACTTTCCAGAGATCCCTGTGACATTCTCAAAGCCAGCACTGTATCGCATATGCACTAACTAAAACCACATCCTTCACCTTTACCCTCACTTTCAAGTTTCTTTGTTCTTCCCCAGGAACCGCAGTAGTGACCATGGGGAAAGCAGGTCTCTGGACTGACAGTCGCTACTGGACCCAGGCTGAGCGGGAGATGGACTGCAACTGGGAGCTCCATAAGGAAGGTAAAAGGACTACATGGATTCCCCCCACCTCAGCCCTGGAACCTGGACTAGGTTTGGGGACATACAGATGAGGGGATGTATGAAAGGCCATGCTGGGTCCCTATGAGAGCTGAGGAAATTTGAGGTCATCCCTAAACTTTGAGAATGCTAAAAAGAAGAATACACATGGCAGGACTATCACAGACAGAAACCTGGCTGGAGAGCCTGGGGCTGGCCCTGGAGGTGACTCCTGTATTCCTTCATGTCTTTCTCTCAGTTGGCACTACACCCATTGTCAACTGGCTCCTCACTGAGATTCCTGCTAGAGGGCATGTGGGCTTTGACCCTCTCCTCTTCTCCGTTGGTAAGTTCTTCCTTCAGTCCCTACATTTGTCCACAACAATGAAGGTGACTCAGGTTCCCTGGGATGTAAAGAAGTGAACCTTGATAGAAGGAGGGGCAGGGTGACTCTAAATATAGAGTATTTGAACTTGTGGTTGTAAAATATTTGCAATAAGAATGTAATCATGGATTATATAGTAAAAATATATTTAAGAGAATAAATACAGCATTTTTTAAGTCATGAGTGCAGAGACTCAACCTATAAGCCTCAGGTTAGGATGTCCTTAAACCCAGAACCATCACCAGTCACCTGGAACTCTACCAATTAGGGCACTAGAATCGCTTCTGTAGCCCTCTTCTGGAAGGCAGCTTGGAAGGGTCAAAGTAGTTGAGAGGGCTTCTGACTAAAAAAGCATAATTCCTTCACCTCCAAGGAATACAGCTCCCTGAGTTCTGGGATCTCAGCTGACTGGCAAGCCTCCCCCCAAGGATGGAGTTCTTGAAAATATGTACTGAAAGGCTCCCACTTAGGAACTTGCTTCTTTGACAACCTTTCTAAAGGCCATCAACCATTCCTTTGGGTTGTAGTATTAAAGCTCAGTTAAAATGGTTAGTACAAAAAGAGGGCTCCACAGCCAATGGCACTTTAAAATGAGCTTAGCCAATTGGCTGTGGACAGCATTGGGTGGGCTCATGGCGATTAGGCCTTAAAAGTGGAAAGAAGAAGGACATACCCCAGGAGGGCTAGACTTCTTGGAAAGGCTCTGGGCAGCTGGGGCTGCAGGAGCAGAATAGGAGGCAGAGTAGATAAGTACTAACTTTGCCTGAGTCACAGTTTTTCCCTGAGGTATAAATAGGCAGAGAATACGTTACTCCTTCCTGTCTCTGCAGCCTCCTGGGAGAGTTATGACGCGGCCTTCCAAGGCTCTGACAGAGAGCTGGTGTCCATTACAGCCAACCTTGTGGACCTGGTGTGGGAGTCAGAGAGGCCTCCAGCTCCAAGCCAGCCCATTTATGTCCTGCAAGAAACATTCACAGGTGATTCCCTAAGCCACTTCTCCTTCCCAGCATGTAGTTCCTTTGGCTGGAAAATTCGTCCTTAACAGGTACCAAAGCAATGGTTCTCGAACTTTTGTGTACACCCAAATTGTCCAGGACGCTTGTTTAAAATGCAGAATCCTGGACCTTTTAAAAAGTGAGTCTGAATCAAAAGATCCCCAGACCATATTTAGAAAATGCTGGAATAATGAATGTTAAGATTTGAAGCAAGAGAGAGCAGGAAGGAAAGAAACAAGAGAGTCAGAGAAAAATGAAAAAACACACATTTTTAAAGAGAGAAAAAAACATGACAGTTGCTTATCTGGTATTGGAGACCAGTTTGTAATGAATTATTCAAACCTTGACTTCCAGCCATCTGTGATGAGGAATTTAGATTTAAGATGCCTGGGGTTGGCTGGGCCATGGTGGACAAAAGGAATAAATAAGCTCTGAGTCAGTCTGTGGCACAGATTAGGGTTCAAGTTTTGGCTAGACCACAAAGGAAAGTTCACTAACCCCAAAAACTTAAAGATCAATAATCTTGACCCTGTTGACACCATCTAAATATGTCATAAAAGAACAGTATGTTCTATGATTCTTATTAGTAGTAACTAAAATCCTGACTGTGAATCGGTGTCTTGGCCACCACCAGCCTCTACCTTGCCGGGAATTCTGAACGAGCCAATGGACTTGGATTCCTAGGAATATTGGGCAATCTGAAAGGCTCCTTTCCCCCATGCAAGTCCATGCACACTTATTGTTTGGGAAGGAGTCAAAAAAGCAGGAGGGAAATGTCAAAATAGCAGGTCTGGTGAAACAAGTTCAAATTATGTCCAATTTTCTTTATCTGTTCTGATGTAACTTGCAGAATCATTCTTTCTACATCTCAACACAGTTTGTACAGAAACTTGCTGTCCAAGACTGTTCGATCAAAAATAAAACTCATTTCATTCAGATAAAGAAGAGCACAGTTATGTCAGGAAGGGGAGGGGATAAAGGGGAGAACCTCCCAGAGACTGGGAGATAGTTTGTGTGAGTTTTGTCACTTCCTACAAGTGAGGGGAAGCTGAGTCATCGCAGGCTAATAATCTTTAAGGAAGAGCCATCTTGTACCAGAACTGGGCCTGGAAACCCAAGAACAGAGTTCTTAAATCTCTAAGGTTATAGAGTTGAAAGAGACTCTCTCTAGCAACTCAGAGGTTTAAAGAGCAGAAAGGGCAAGAGGAAAAACATGAAAAGCTAGTTACTCAAAGACATTTCTATATCAGACAATTTAAATTTGCTTTCATTAGTTGTCTCAAAAAAATATATCACATCTATAAACCTTGAAATAATTCAAAATGAAAGAAGCCAGTCAGAGAATGCTCCAGATTGTGTGATTCTATTTGTATGGAATATTTAGCAGAGGCAAATCTATTGAGAGGGAAAGCAGATTAGTGGTTTCCAGGGGCTGGGGGAAGGTAAGAATGAGAATTAACTCCTTATGGGCTACAGAGTTCTTTGAGAAGGATGAAAACGAAAATGTTCTGGAATTAGATAGTGGTGATGGTTGCACAATCTTGTGAATGTTCTTAAAGCCCCTAATTATGCACTTCAAAATGGTTAAAATGATACATTTTATGGTATGTGTATTTTACCACAATAAAATAAAATAAACCTTACGAAGTATTATACCCAAAGTTTTTATTCTTGTTGAATCGTTTGACCTGTTGGCATAAAGTGTTTTTCTAACAGTATTAAGTTATTTATGCTAATCTCTGAGCCCATCTAGGACCCTTAATGTTTATGACACTCTGACAGTAAATTCCTAGCCCTGCCTAGAGGTGGTAGACTCTTTACATGCATTGCAAGGAGCAGGAACAAAAGATGAAAACTAAAGTCCTAGGACCAGAATACAAGCATCCCAGCAAAGATAGCTCTGTGATACAGAGTTTAAGGACAGGTTTGGAGACTGACAGTGTTAGCAACATAGTCCAGTGTCTATACAGATTAAGAGTGTAAGCCCATGTAGTCAAATAGACCTGTGTTCAAATTTCAGCTCCACCCCTTGCCAGCTATAAGACCCTCAATTAGTCGCTTTACCTCTCCTAAGACTCAATTTCATTATCTGTAAATTGGGCCAAGTAAAAATTAAAACAATGTAAGCAAAATGTTTGGCCCAGAACTGTGGCTTATTAAGCACCAGGGATACTGCAAAGAGGAGACTTAAACATGGCCCACCGCAATCCCTTTTCCGTTCAACCAGGGCTACTCTCCTAATCTCTGTTCTGCATGCATATTTATTGATCAGAAAGTTATACCAGACTTACTATGTCCCAAGACACCATTCTATGTGCATTACAAATATTAATTCATTTGATCCCCATAACAATCCTATTGAGGTAGACACTATTATTATGATCCATTCTAATTTTACACATGTGCAAAATAAGACACAGAGGTGCTAACTAAGTTGCCCAAGGTCACCTAGCTAGTAATGGCAGAGCCAGGATTTGAATCCAGACAGTCTGGGCCCAGAGCCCATGTCTCTAATGACTACACAAGTAAGAGTTTGTTTGGAAAAAAGTGTCCTACTGCTTTTAAAGAAATGAAAAACTATTTTCCTAAGGGAGCCCTCTCAGGAACAGAATGTCAAAGAGAAGATATTGTCACTTATGCTTTCTTTCGGCTTCGTTGCTACTAGGGAGCACCTGGCAGGAGAAAGTATCTAGCATCCGCAGCCAGATGCAGAAGCACCACAAGGCCCCAACGGCTGTGCTTCTATCAGCGCTTGATGAGACAGCCTGTGAGTACAGATTTACAGAAACATGTAGGCACCTGGGTTGTCCTAACACTCAAGCCTCCTGCAGCACAGGACTCCTCCCCCAACCACAAGGTACCCATTGGCTCTGAGAGCTCCTTGGCCATGGCCTGTGGGAACTAAGATGGAGAGGGAGCAGGATATCATGTCTGCCGAATAAGGCAACCAGGAAGCCCAGAGCAAGCTGGGGCCAACCCCTAGGCCACTGAAGAATGGCCTGACCACAGCAGCAAAGGCTTCCGTCTCAAGAAGGGGAAGAAGCCCAGTAAACACCTCCCAGCAGTCTGGCCACCTTCCCAGGGCACTCACATACAAAGCTTTAGCCCCTAGTGCGGCTCTGTTCTGTCCCAATGTAGCTCGGAGCTTTTTACCTGACCCCAGCTCTAGGCTTCAGAAAATCTTGGACCCCACTGAAACTGTGTGTTGACTACTTGCTGGATATTTGCATTTTTCTGGGAGAAAAGGTCCATAGCTCTCATCTATGCCTCAAAGACCCCCCACCAAAAGACTAAGAAACATACAAAGGTAGATGATTCAAGTGTGCTGCTGGAAATCTTTGAGAGAAGGCAAAGCAAACAGTGGGGCAGAGGCGTCAGATGTGCTGGCCTCAGGCAGTTCAGCCTCATAAATAGTATCCATTAATCATTTTTTCCCAGGGCTCTTCAATCTTCGCAGCAGTGACATTCCTTATAATCCCTTCTTCTATTCCTATACATTGCTCACGGACTCCTCCATCAGGTATGGTTTTCCTTGGCTTGCTATGGTGAACTTCCTACAATTTCCACTCCTTACTGCCCCATCATTTACCCAATCCCAATATGAAGCCTTCCCATGAGCTTGGAGCTTTTCCTGATCTCTTGACCCCTGTTTCCACCTACTCCAAATCTAGTCTGCTTGGCTCCCTGACCTCCAGCAACAGAGAGCCTCTGGTCCTTTGCATTGTCCTTAGAGACCCTCAGAACCCTCCTGGTCTTGCCTCTTCACCCAGATTATTTGTAAACAAGAGTCGCTTTAACTCCGAGACCCTGCAGTATCTGAATTCCAGCTGCACTGGCTCCATGTGTGTACAACTTGAAGATTACAGCCAAGTCCATGACAGCATCCAAGCCTACGCCTCAGGAGCTGTGAGGATCTGGATCGGAATGGCCTACACTATGTATGGACTCTACAAAGTGATACCCAAGGTGGGTTTGCCAGGCTACAGCCCAGACCAGGTACTTCACCCCCTTCATCCCTGATAAGCCTCACCTAAAGTGGGGCCGCAGCCCTTCAGCCATTCAGGCAGTTGGTCAGTCAACAAAGGTGTGGTGAATCCCCTTCTAGGCCTCTTTGGAGAGAAAAGGAAGAAAGGAAGCTGGATGTCTGTCCACAGAGAGCTCAGAGATTATCAAGGAAGCTAGAGGGAGTACAGCCTGGTAGAGCAGAGGCTTTGAGGTCTCCAAAACTGAGACTGAGTTCTGGCACTGCCCCAAACTGGCTGTGCAGCAATCTTGGACAACTGACTTAGCTAAACTGGGCCTCTGTTCCCTCACCTGCAAAATGGTGATGAGAATCCTAACCTCAGAGAAGTTGTTCTGAGGAACTTTAGAGGAGATAGTGCCTGGTACACAGCAGGCACTCAATAAATGGCAGATGATAGTATGATATGTGCAGGAAACTCACACTGTCAGAACAGCCTATTAACTGGCAGGAGCCAAGCTCTGATTCATCCCAGAGCACTGGTAGGATCCTGGGGCAGGGAGAGATGGAGGGAGGGAGGGAAATTTAAGCTGGACTTGGAAGACTAGGAAAGACCTGTATAGCCAGAAAGCACAGAAGGAAAGATCTTTGCCACCATAGGGACCAGCAAGACTCCCCTCAGAGGGTTTTCCGGCCAATCCTTTTCAAACACCGCTGTGCCCTGGAAGGGGCTCCCAGAACTCTTCTTCTCTGCCTGTGACAGGAGAAACTCATAGCAGACACCTACTCCCCAGTGATGATGACCAAGGCGGTGAAAAACAACAAGGAGCAGGCCCTCCTCAGGGCCAGCCACGTAAGTCCATGGGCAAGAAAAATAGACTTTTGAGAGCTCCCAGTCTGATGGTTCAGAAAAGAGACCCTGCAGGAAGAGCCTGAAGAAGCCCTGTCAATGAAACAGAGAAGTGGGCATAGAACTCCTGGGCACCCACCTGTGCTTTACTCCCTTAGTCCCAGCCATGGCACAGTGATTCAAAGCACAAGCCCTGGAGACAAGGTGTCTGAGTTTAAACCCCAGCTCCCCCACTCAACTCCTAGATGAGTGACCTTGGGCAAGTCGATTCATCTCTCTGGGCCTCAGTTAACTCATCTATAAAATGAAGATCATAATAGTAATCTATAGCACAGGGCAGTTTTGAAGATTAAATAGCAAATGTAAATAAATATATATTATACAATAAATAAAACACATATATTATAATATAAATAATAGAATCGTCCCTCAGTATCCAGAGGGGATTGGTTCCAAGATCCCTTCAGATATTCAAATCTGCAGATGCTCAAGTTCTTTATGTAAAATGGCATAGTATTTGCATATAATCTATGCACAACATCCCATATACTTTAAAT